CCCCAAAACCCCAAAACCCCAAAACCCCAAAACCCCAAAACCCCTTTTAATAACTATTTATTGAAAACCTGATTATAATTGCAGACTATTTTGAGCAGAAGCTCTGAGAACCGAATTTCTTCTGTTTGATCTGTTAAAAGCAGCTCTAGAATCCTGGATTGAAGCTCCATCAGGGAACTGTACCATGCTTTGATGAGAGGTTAGACCTAAAAGAATACTTTCCTAAAACGTTACCTTTGTATGTAGAATTTGCTTGTGGTCTGGCTAACTCATTGGAATGAGTCATACTATACCTTGCAGTTAACGGACCTTGTCCTTCAATGGCAGAAACTCCTTTTCCCTTAGGATAAGCAGTTGCTCCCACAGATTGAATAGTGTTTACACCTGGAGCTAGTGAATATATCATTGGTTTCTTCTCTCTATAAGCCTTCAAGTCATGCTTATTCAATCTTTTCTCTACATGTATAAGATTTAGACTCACCAGCAAATGTCATTTTTCCGAAATTATGCTTATTATGTTCCTAAAGGTTGAACAAAAGGACCTACGTTCATTGCCTGCTGGTATAGAAGAGTTTGCTTGTATATATTTTTACGCTCTTTCTCTTCTTCGAGATCTAGTTCTTTACCAATTTGGAAAGCAGTATTTTGTCCCTTTGCATTGAGCTCATCTTCAGCCCTCTTCATTCTTTCCAGCTCTTCGTCAAACTTCTTCTTCTTGAGCATTTTATCATTCTCAGCAATGAGTATCTGATTGTTTTTCAACCGATTTAAGTTGGAGGCATCATCACCTTGAGCCTGTCTTTTAAAGAAATCTCTTTGATTTTTATCTTCGATTCCATTCAACTTAGCCAATTTCTCCTGTTGAGGAAGGTATGCCATCTTCTGATGGGCTTCATAGTTCCCTTTCATCTGAGCATCGAGCTGACGATAGTATTCAGCCAAGGCATCTTGCTTGTTCTTTTGTCTTTGAGCTTCAAGATTCATATTTTCGATATATTCTTGTCTTTCCCTCTCTCTATCATGATCCTTTTTCTATAAAATATATGACTCTAAAAGAGATACCTGTTTGGCATATTTAGCCCATTTGAGCATTTCATCCTTATTTTTCTTGAGTTCATCGTACTTGTCCTTATTAGCCTGGTTTTCAAGATCCTGGACTCTCTTGATCCTATTCTCAAGTTCTATTCTTGCCTTCTCTTTGTCTTCAGGGGATTGCTCTGTGAAGGTTAGGAACAAGAAAGCTGAATACATACCTTTGAGTCTTCTCTGCCAGTCAAGATCATGGGCGTACTGTTGTTGCCTGAGTTTATTTCTCAGCTTTCTCCTGCTCAGCTCTCTGATTCCAGTAATTATCCTGTTGCATTGCTAAGGCAGCCCACTCATCGATGACCCCAGTGGTGTCGGTGGGGTAGTACTGGTTACCTTTCTCAAGGTTCTTCTTCATCGTTTCGACTTTTCTCTGGATTAAGTAGTCGGTCTTCACTCCATTCTTGTGAAGATATAACGGATCGTTCTAAAAATAGTACTTGGACAACTTACCAAGGAAGTCATTTTATTATTGAATAATTTCTATAGAAGAGATTTAATAAGGGGTTTTGGGGTTTTGGGGTTTTGGGGTTTTGGGG